GATTCCGTCTCGAAGCGGTGCACATGGATGGAGCAGTGCCTGCTTCCCACGCTCGTGGACAGCCGCACAGGAACACGCTTGTGCTTTGAGCTGCGCCGCTCTGAGGACCCTAGCAGTGTGGTGGGCACTGGGTTCATGTGGGATCTCGAAATGTTGGAGCGCCGCTTTAGTGCAGTTCCTATCTTCGCTGTCGGTGATGCCCACCCCTGCGGGGCGCTGACGGTGGCGGCGACACGGGCGCCTCTCCGCTGTGACGTCTTGACTGTCTCCACCATGCAGTCACAGGGGTTGGCAGCAGGTCCACCGCCGACTGAGGAGGGACCGCAGCAGCAGCACCAGCAGGAGGGCGGCGGTGCCATGGACGTGGAGAAGGCGGTACGTCGTCACGCAGCGGCTGCACTTGCAGCCCCGCAACTGGTGATGCTGCAATTCATCGTGCACGGTTTTGAAATAAACGGCCGGAGCGTGTCGCCCACAGGGGGTATCTGGGAGTTGACGCTGAGGAGTGAGACCACCTTGGCCAACGGAGAGACACACCAGTGGACCTCATTGGATGCTGACGATTCAACAGGAGGCCGTGAGCGTTGGTGCGGTGTTGTGTGCTCGCGGAACTTTGCCAGGATGGAGATACACGCTCGCCGTCTCGTGGAGGAGTTCACAGGGACAGCTGTAACTAGGGTGCAGCAGGCCAGAGGCTGCTTCTTTGCGAGCGTCGCCCAGCCGGCTGACGGCACATCGGTGTCTGTTTTCCAGGTGGAGTTGCTACAGTACACTCCTTGGAAGGCAGGAAGAGAGTTGCCGCTTCCTGTAGGGCGCGCGTACTTGTCGTGCCGTCCGCTGATGCAGTCAGGCGTGTTGTACAACCCACGCTTGTTGTTCCTCCACCGCTGGCTCCGCCTAGACGTGGTGGAGCTCGTCGGTGTCGTGCGTGCGGTGCAGAACCGCTCTCAACGGAAGAAGCGGAAGCAGCGGGCTGTGGAAGAGGGCGGGGGAGGCTCCCCCAGTGTGGCGCACGAGGAAGGGATTGCTGTATGCATGCGACTGCGGTGCGGGGAAACGGCTGCTGCAACATCGCCGCCCTTTACCCCACCAGCTGTTGAGCTGGCGAGGGAAGAGCGCGTGGAAGCCAACGGCGCGAACAACAACAACAGCAGTGCTCTTCCTTGTATTGTGTCGATGGAATGCTGCCCCGAGAACCACGAGGGCGCTGTGGAAGTGGGGCTCTCGTTGTGCCTCCGCTGCGCAGGTCCTGCGGGGCCGAGTGAAGAGGAGGCAAGGCACGAGCTCTCAGGTGCCGTGCTGATCGGTGAAGGTGTGGCGTGTGTGCCACAGCCGGGCGAAGAAAGCAGCAGCATAGACGTGGCTACCACCGACAGCGCTGCCTCACTGTGGGTGCCGATTGCTGGCATCGACCCTGCACAAACGGCGTATGCGCGGCTGTGTTATGCGTGGTCGCACCGTGTCGCCATTGGCAGTTGGCTCGCGTGTATTCGTGTTCGTTCCGCTAAGCATCAGGCGACGCTGCGCTGTCCGTTCCTGCGGTTTGTAGTGCGATTCCCAAGTGGTGTGGATTGCAAATTATCACTTGATCTCTTTAACGCCACCACACGGGCGGCGGCGGCGCCGCCGTGGCAATCGGCTGCTGTTGCGGCCCCACTCCAGGCCGTGTGGTCGCTGGCCCACATACACCTGCCGGTGGTGTGGCCGATGTGTGAACACGTGCGGCACGTGGAGCTGCACGACCGTGTGGCGGAAGGGCTGACAGTTCACATCGGCACCCATTACTGGACACGGGATGATATGCCACTGCTAGTCTCCCTTGAAGACAATGAGAGTGATGAAGCAGTAGCAGCAGTGCCGTCGGCTGAGCGGTGGCTGCGCTTTGGGGACGGTGAAGTGGGCGTGCACGAGGTACTGCTTGCGCGTTCCCGCCGCCCACCGATTTCGAGTGGCGTTACAGCAGACACTCTGCAGGTGCCCTTCCGGTGGTGGCCCGTTACGTCCGCGTTGCGTCTCGCCGGCTCTGCGCTTGACGTGGCGGCGTTGGAAGCGGGCCGACTGGCGGTGAGCTGCAATCTGCGCGTCGGCCAGTGGCGTGAGGCAGGATGGGTCTGGGAGGAGGAGGAGGAGGCAGCGACAACAGGCGAGATGTTTGCCACGCAGATTGAGGTGGAGCGGTCACCCACGGCGTCGGTGACAGCAACGTGGGCAATGACGGGCTGTGGTGCTAATGGTAGTAATACTGCCAGCAGCAGTGGGTTGCCGCTGACTCGACACATTGCTGTTGATGGGCTGCGAGAGGGGTCGGTGCGTTATGCAGTGCAGGCGAGAACCGTCTGCCGAGTGCGGTGCTCGCACAGTTCACCTGCCACGGATACGTCAACAGAAACACCCGTGACTGGGGAAGAGAAGGCAGCGGCAGATAGTTTCGGTGGCGCACTCTGGACGACGCTCTCCACACACACATCCATCTTTGTGGTGGATGAATGCTGCAACGCCACACGCGGCGAGACTGTTCTGACGCTTGAGACGAACACCGAGAGTGGTGCTGACACCTCAGCCGAGGCTGCAGCAGAGGGATCGCTCACCATGGCGTGGGCTATTGCGTACGATGAGATGAGGATTGCCCCACGCGACCACCAGGAGCAGCCCTGTATGACGGCGCTGGTCGACCTGCTCCGTGGCACGTTCACTGACACGAGTGACAGGCGTGAAGAAGTGACAGACACGCAGCAGATACCGTCACCGGCTCTGCTACTTCCAACGTGGCTGGTGGCGTCGATCGAGGTGCGCGACCTGTCCGTTGTGCTGGGCGCACTGCCGAGTGCTGCAGCTTCCTGCCAGGCGCGTCCTGGTGTTCCTGTTTTGGCCCACTTGGTCGCACACAGGCGACGACGCGGCGGGAAGCCTACTGATAACCGAGAGCGCAGGGTCAATGAAAGAGACACCGTCCGATTTCCATTGGCTACTGCCAACGCCAGGCCTATTGCACCCCCACCACCGCAGCAACGGCGGCCGCTTTACTCACTGAGTGTTGAGCCTGCGTGGTGCATTTCCCCGCGAGAGTGGATGAGCCACAGGCGGCCGCTGCACCTCACGCTGTGGCAGGTGGTGTCGACTGCGGAGGAGTTCAGCTATGCGCTGGGGTCTGTGCGCCTAGACGCGATTCTCAGGGACGCCTTCGCCCAACTCCCCGACAAGAACAGCAGCAACAGCAACGATGGTGGTTGTGGTAGTGTTCCACAGGAGATTGTGACGAAGTGGCACCAACTGCGTCGCGGGGGGGAGTCGTCACCGGCGAGCGTGGGACTCGTGCGCCTGCGGCTGTACCCTGTCATCAACGTGGCACCCAACGCCTCAGCGGGCGTGATTGCGGATACGCCTCAGATGCCTTTGTGCGTCGAGGTGCTGGATGTCGTGACGCGTTCCGTGGTGGGCGGCGGTACCGCGGCGCCGCTCGACGAGCGCCGGCTTGGCTTGGTGCTCCGCCCTGCGGGCAACTCGGGCTTTTTGTCGTGTAGCACAACGCGTCTGCGGCCTGAGGATGCAGCAGCCGCATCGACCCGCATCGACGCGGGGGATACAGATGGCAAGGGTGATGTGGCTTCGCACCGGATGGTGGCGCTCGCGTCACTCCACAGCCTGTTGCTCGACGCGCGACGACTGGGAGGCACTGCGCCGCCCGATGGGTGGCTGGGAATTGACGTTATGCTGGTGGAGTGCCGGGAGCGGAAGAATAAGAAGCAGCAGCAGCGACAAGAGCAACGCCAGGTGGAGAAGGACGAGGGCAAAATGACGAGTATACTGCGTGACGACATTGTTGGCGTATTGGCTATAGAGCGGCTCGACTTGCGCCGACTCTTACAGACGCTGCTGCTCGCCTCCGATACAGCGGGTGACCACCAGCAGCAGCAGCAGCAGCAGCAGCAGCAGCAGCAAAAACCGTCTACGTACGGCGCTGCGGATTTCACGCTGACGCTCAACACTGTTTCGGCGNCAGCAGCAGCAGCAGCAGCAGCAAAAACCGTCTACGTACGGCGCTGCGGATTTCACGCTGACGCTCAACACTGTTTCGGCGGCTGTCACAGTCCGCCTGCATGTCGTGGCGCTGGCGTCAATGCCCAACGCTGCTGGTGAGCGGGATGATGCTGTGGATGACAACCGCAACGCTGTGTTGTGTGCCCCCTCGCGCTTCTTCTGCGCCGCTGATGGCTACGCGGAGGACAATGCTGTTTGCAGGAGCAGCAGCGTGCTATGCGCCACTGGGGGAAGGGCCTACATGCTTGGCGACTGCGTGTTCGAGTGGGATGTGCGGGAGCTGCAACGCGCGCGCACCTCCTGCACGGCGGGTGCTGTTGTGTACGGCGCTCTCCCAATGTGCTTCAAGTGGACGCCGGTAGATGCACTGCCCACGGCCGCGGTGGAGACGAGGCAGAAGAAGGCGACGCCGTCCGACGTTTCTGCAGGCTTGCGGCACTTTTGCCGCCGTGTCGGATATACGGCGTGGGTCTGTGACAACCGATTCGCCATGATAGACGGCGGTATCTACGCACAGCCAGAAACAACAACAACGGCAGCGGTGTCACAGTCACCGCGACCGCCGTCTTCAAGACGACAATCTAACAGGACGGCGCGGCGTTGGCGAGGACGATTGGCCCGTCGCGTCTTGGAGCCTTCTGCCGAGACCGTTGTTGCCGTTGCTGCTACTAGTGGTGGTGGTGAGTCATCCGTCCCCGACGTGGCCACGACGCTTCTCTGCTACGACTTGAAACAGCACAGCTGGAGCGTCACGTGCACCACGCGGGACGAGACGGGTGATGGTGCGGAGGGTCCGCGCGTGTTTCACTCTGCCGCTGTCGTGGGTGACAAGGTGTGGTGCTTCGGCGGGTGCAGCGTGGCCACTGCGCGCGGGACGCTGTCGCCTCTTTGCAACGTGCTGAAGTGCCTCCACCTTCCCGCGCGCCAGTGGAGCACAGTGACGCCACTGCTGCGGCTGCCGTCCCGCGCACTGCACCGTGAGCCCGCTGCGCCGCTCTTCGCTGTGCGGACGCCACTCGCGTCGTCGCCGCCACCGCTTGCGTGCCACACGGCGGTGGCGTGGGATGCAGAAATGTACGTGTTCGGTGGACTGCGGGAGGAAGGCGGCACGCTTGTCCCCAGCGATGCGCTCTACGCGTTTCACACGCGCCGTGTTGCGTGG